ACTTCTTAAATAACCCTCGCGAAATTGTTATGTTTTGCGTTGAAAAATAAAAAAGTGAGTTTTTTATACCAATCGTGCAGAGTCATCAACGACATTACTAGAGTCTTAGGCTCCAATAGTAAAGTTCACCATTGCCTACAAATCGGATCGATGACACGCTGATGCCGATTGTCTTCCTCGGTCTCCCTTTGAAACAAGACACAACAGTGACACGGCCTTTTTGGGCATTGTGGACCCTGCCGCTTTTTCACGCCAGCCGTGGGACGACGCTGTACTGCTACCACTGATTCATTCCTTCGAAGGGAAAGTAATAGCGCGCCGAAGTACATCATACCGCTTGAGCAATGATGGAATCAGCAAGAAAAACGTTTCACCTAGCGTCAGCAGCTACTTACTCGTCGTTCGCTTATTGCTTCGGCGTGAAGTCATCTTCGCCTGTCACAACGAGCCAACCGCCGGTCACTTAGGCTACACTCGGACATTGGCAAGGATTGTGCAGCACTACTTCAGGTCGGCACTTGCCATTGTCGTGAGAACTTACGTGCAGATTCGTTGAAGATCAAGTATAATTGCACCATCAAAAATACAAGAATAATCGGGAAAAAAGTGAAATTCAAATAACTTGAGAAGTTCTCGAGCCCCCATTTTTTGACTACCAGCGCCACACCACTCAAATCAGCATGAATATTTTGGGCTAGAGTAACTGTATATGCTACCCTTAGGTTGCCGAGGAGCGCATTTGTTGTCCAACGCCGCTGGGAACCACGCACTGAGGAGAAGTACAGTGCAAAGGCGGCACTGTTGAAAACAGTCACCGTCTACCTGGAATCTACCAAGTGAACGGCGGGCGCTCTGTAGCTCTTTACCTACAGACTGGTGCTTTCATTTGCTCTAGATTTGTGCCATTATTTGTCTACAGCAAAGTATTTGCGTGGATTCGGCAGAAATTTTGAAACACATAATGAAATAATCAGTGCTGTAGGCCTAATGTGGCACTCCTTAAGTCTCAGAGGACCTATATATTGTGCTTGTGAAATTTTGTTTATTCTCCATAGCTGGCGCCACTTGACCATGCGGCAGCAGCGATGCATGTTATTCGGCTCTAGGCTACGCCTTCGCGCTTGGCGTTACCGGACAGCCTAAAAAAATGCTTTTGAAGTCCCTTAGCACAGTCCTCGAGGCACATGCTTCTTCGCTGGTCATTGACACGCGAGGCACGTAAATTGGCGATTGGCGACGCACTTCGTCAATTGGGGACAGGCAAGTACCCTGTAAAAACAGAGGGCGGCTTCGCCGAATTACTACTAAAGTTGCTAACCAGGCAAGATGACAGAACTATGTCATACTTTCCTCCCATAGGGAGCTGAGTTCTAAGCTGCTTTCCAACGTCTGCTACCAGAAACTGGTGGATAATTGTCGCCACCGATTACCTCACCTGATAGGCCATGAAAAAAAAAGCTGTACGACGGGTGACAGCAGCTGAAGCGGGCCGAATCTTTATTGAAGCCATCGTTTTAAGCAATGGTGCTCCCGAAGTAATTATCACCCACGGAGGTACTGCGTTCAAGGTGGAGCTCTTGCAATGAATGCCGTATTGCGACTAAGTGGTACCGCTTGATGAAAGCCAATGTGATACAATCCCCAGATTAACGGGCTGGCTGAACGTCTCAATACGACTCTGGCTGACAGGATCAGCTTGTACGTAGATGTAGAACACAAGAACTATAACGTCATCCTTCCCTACGTTATATTCGCCTACAACATGTCTCGTCATTCAGTATTGTTGACGGCCATGACGTTGTCCCACTGCGGTGGTCTAGTGGCTAAGGTACTCGACTGCTGAACCGCATGTCACGGGATCGAATCCCGGCTGTGGCGGCTCATTTCCGATGTAGGCGGAAATGTTGTTGGCCCGTGTGCTCAGATTTGGGTGCACGTTAAAGAACCCCAGGTGGTCGAAATTTTCGGAGCCCTCCACTACGGCGTATCTTAAAATCATATGGTGGTTTTTGGACGTTAAACCCCACATAATATTCAATCAATCAATCAATCAATCAATCAATCAATAAACGGTCGTGACGTCGCGACAACGTTCGACGCAATCCTCCCCCATGAAAACGACGCTCTTGAGACGGGAGCAAATTAGTGAACAGAAGAAGCTCGGCATCTTGCCCGTGGTTGTGAATTATCGAACAGGACTGTCACGACCGGCCCTACGGTCTCCGGGACAGACCCGTCTCAACAACGTGGGCGACGAAGTGTGGGTCTGGACTTTCATACGTGGTTGTATGTTGCCCAAAAACTGTTGCGGAAAGGTTTCGGACCTTACAAGCTTCTCTGACGCATCGGTGATGTTATTTACGAGGCAGTTACGGACGGCGCCCAGTGTTCAAAGCCCCGAAGACATTCGAGGAAAGTTATTCACGTGCTTCGAATTACGCCACACGTTTAGTGACTATGTTTTTTTTTCTGCTCTCAGAGCCTGCATCATTTGGACGATGTTTTTCGAAGGGGCAATAATGTCGCACGTGTGTGATAGTGGCGATGACAAAGAAGCAGCGCATGGATACTTCACCAGGTCAAAGATGAAGAAGACGTTGCTGTCCTTTTATTATTATTTTATTATTAAAGCTTCAAAAAGATTCAGACTGTAGAACCTATTATTGATTGATTTGTGGGGTTTAACGTCCCAAAACCTGGAACCTATTATTACTCCTAAATTACATTTTTTTTTTCAAATTCCTTTCATTGTTTATTTACTTATTTAGTTATTTTTTTATTTAATTATTTGTTTATTTATTTATTTATCTATCGCACGTCCAATGAGTTGAGTGGGGAAACTTTTTCGCGTCACATAGTGCTCCAAGTGCGTCTTAGTGTTACTAATTTTCCTTTGTAAGCCTCGAGTGGGGCGGAAAGTTCTTGAGAGAATCAGTCACCCATACTCATTGCTTTGTGTTATTTCGTTGTAAACAACTATCCTTTTTAATATAGAACTAACGTAGCATTTACATCAATATGTGAAAGCCACTTGATCTCTAAGTGAGCACTACCAGGAAAGAGCATGTTTCCGCTTCTTGGCAGTAGGAAAAGCTGTCTTCACTTCTGCTTGCAAGGCATTGTGCGAGCTTCTACTGCAGCAATTTTTCTTTTAATCCTCTTCGTTTGCCGTCTGAGTTATTACAGCACGACAACCGACCTGGTGAAGAAATTCAATTTCGTTTGTACTGCTTAGTGGGGCTTCGTAATTCCTGTTGCGCATAGACTGAGCTTTTTAGGGGCGAAGCTCCTTATAGCGGCACCTGTTCGTCCCTCGTAGTCGTAGTCGTAGTCGTAGTGTGTAACCAGTCTTACGTTTTTACCTGCAAGGTGGTGCCCATGGGAGATTTCTCCTGTTCGTTGTTGAACTATAAAAAAATCCTAGCGTGCGCGTTAACTAAAAGCCAAATTCTCCTGTCTCTCATTTTCCATTAGCAGCCATTCGCATGTACATTGAGCACTATCTGACAAGAAAGGGTTGCTACGTTATACTCGCCGGGCGTTACCTCTTTGGTTTTAGAAAGGTTTAGCGAGCGTTGAGCCGCAGTGCATGAATACAATGAACGGGTATATACCATGAAGTCGAGGTGGTAAAGGTGGGAAGCAGACACGAAGCGCAAGCCGTAAGAAAGTGTGCGTGTGTCACCTCTCGTTTAGTCCTTGGAATGCCCGTTGGATGGCGGTGCTTCTATATGGGGAACATATGATGAAAAGACGCGAGATGGTGGTACTTGGAGTGTTGAATAGATGAACGAACGGGCACACAGACAGATACATGGACGGACTCACAGATGGCTGCACCGACGAATGGACGCATAGACGAACGCAGGGGCGGATGCACGGACGAACGCAGAGACGGCCGCACGGATAGACGTGCAGACGCACGAACAGACGCACGCACGGACGGGCGAATGGACGCACGGGCGGTTACACAGACGGACATATGGATGGACGGAAGCAAGAACGAATAAATGGATGGATGCTTCACCCCACTCTCCATCAATCACTCCGTGGATATGCTGCCATTTTTTTGGTTCACCGGAGAAAGAATCATTTGCTAATTAAACACCTTCTCTGTTAATAAGAAGTTGATAAAGCGAGCGATTCTCTGCCGGGTTGGTATTGCGAGCTTCTGTGTGACGCTAAGACAAACGGCCACCACTTCCATCTGCAGCAGAAAGCCGTATAGGAAGCGTTGTTTGTGTGGTTAGCCTCCTCAGTCCTTAGCTTGAGTTTCTTTTGCTATTATGCGTCATTTCCTATTTTATTTATTTGTAATGTTTGTACAAAACGACATGGTATTTGGTTTTATTCTGTCAGCAAGTAGTACTAAATTAGGTGTCCTTAGACATCAAGAGTTCCATGAAGTCTTTTTTAGGCGTCTAAGAAAAATGATGCTGTTAGAACAGGGAAAATGCACGAGTTTTTCGAATGCTTTGCACGTCCCGACCACCATGGTCTCTGCTAAGCTTTTGTATGCTTGGCCACATAACAATGCTGGATTGCTGTAGAGCTGACTTATATTTCTCCTTTTTAGAACGCTCGAGTTTCTGCTGCATTTTACTAGGAAATATACAGGCGAGCAAGCTTATTCCTCTGTGTATTTGAGAAAAACACAGAGGTAGACGCAGAATAATTGTGGCTGCAGACCACACAATTTATTTACAAGCTGTTGTGATTGAATTGAAGTAACACTTTTCCTTGACTACTCTCTGCCAGGTAAAAGTAAACCTACTTAAAACGCTGCGTCATGTGTTACGTGAGCCGTAGTTCCGAGATTCGAAACCAGCAAAGTCTTTGCCAAAATCTTGACGCCATCACTCGCTCGACAATTTCCCACGTGCGAGCCCACATTGCATTCGGGTGCGTCCTCATTTTGTACGGGAATTGTAAAAAGATGTGGATGTCTGCTTGTCATACCATAGGCAACACATAACAGATACGTTTTTGTTTCTTTGCAGAACATAACGGGGGCTAGCTGGAACAGCTTTCACCTGATTGGCTGCAGCATAGGAGCCCACGTCGCTGGCTTTGCCGGGAAGTATCTCAACGGCCAAATCGGACGTATAACTGGTACGCAATAGTAGTTGAGCCACTGCTGCTAGTAAATATGGCTATTTCGGAGGCCATATTACGGTGCCATTCACCACCGTGCTCCTCCCAATAGAAATACGTTTGTAGGAATATAATAGGCACAGAAAGTCTCCGTTCTAGTATTTGTATACTCGGGTGATTCTATGTGATATCGAACAAAGCATGGCTGGCCGACATCTTAAACTTCTTTCAAAGTTTAATATATTGTTGCCTAATCAGTGTAAAGAAGAGATCCGCAATTGATCTCGCTGTAAAAATGTTTTTTTGAGGCACAGTGAATCAACAACAATGAAGAGATGGAGTGCCCCGCTTACCTTCTCTGTTGATGTTTCTCGAATTTGGCAATAAATTACACTAAATTTATATAACCTACTAGCCTGAAGTGCGTTTGGCTACATAAAGGCGTACTGGCGCTTTCGTTCAATCATATTTAGATTGTCTGCGAGGTGTATTTTTTTTTATAAAGATTCGCAAATTTGACCCGAAAAGGTTTTTTTTCTTGCCTAGTGGGCAGGCCTTTATTTCACAAAGTACCTATGACAGAGCGGTAAAACCTCCGCATCATTTCTTCAGCATGCTTGTTTATAAAACTGCCAAAGCTTATTTTATTAGCACTTTTCAAGAAAAACATATAATTGGGCTAACTTCAAGAAAAGAGCACGCGAGAGGAATTTCTGCCAACGTTTAAAAAACACCATTCTTGATATTTTTATATACTTTCTCCACTAATCCTACTGCACATCAGCTTTCACAATTAACAATAACATGCTGCATTACATGGTTTCGCTTGCAATTACGGCCTGTCGAAAAGTGCCTTGCGCACGCAAGGATAGGCAACGGTAGATTGGACTTCCTGCCCGCTAGGTATGCACTTGCGCAGAAAATGCTTCCCATTGCTTTGCCAGTCAAAGTCATACTAGCTTTTTCATTGCCTCTGCCATCTTCATATACATCAGCTTTTTTTGTTCTGCGCTGTTAAATTAAAAAAAAAAGTACACCATTGACCTGCACTGCCACATACCATGCCTTTTTCCATCCAGTGATCTTTATTATTACACGCAAGGAAAAACAGACCAGAATTGCTGGGGTTCTGCCGCGTTTTGTTGGCAGTATATGAGGGCCTTTGTCGTCATGTTTAGTCAGCTGAGGCAGCTCTAAGTCCAGTGCAATTGCATTGATGTTATAGAACAGATTTTCATTTTCAACGTGCACAAGATCACGCACTTCCAAGTTATTCCTTCTACTACATTGTGCGCGGCTATTTGTTGTAATTCAACGATATCCCCTTCTGCGTTTCTCTTCTCAATATTTTCAACTCTTTATTTTTAAGCAACACTCTCATGTGACTGAAGCTTCATTTCTGCCAGTACTTGATCGTACTGATCTGAAAAAATGCTGGACGGACTTTTCTATACCTTCCGCCGTTTCTTTGACCTGAAAAAGGACATCCAGCTTGTGTGAATTCAGGTAGTTCAGTAAGCTTTTTATTGATTTTCGAAGACCATCTATTCAGAGAGTGACCGTTCGTATTGTGCCAGCCTCGTCACTTTTGAAGGACCTCGAGCGGATAACATTATGCAAGTCTGACATTTTCAGCTTTCTTTTTAGCAGCGTCTACCATTGCTTTGTAGTTTGTCTTACTCCTACGCGAGCAGGCGCCCAAATGATGACCATAATTGTATTTAGAGCAGGTCAGGCACCAGCCATCTGTTGAAAGCGACTGATCACACACCGGACATATATCGAAATCAGAATCAGTCATATACTACGTGGTCTCGTGAATTTCATCTCAGCAACGCAAGTGATCCATGTCCCCACCCACCGGTTTCCTGCAGGCACTTCTTTTTCCGACAGCACCTACACTATTTAACCTGGGTGTATGTTTCAGTGCTAGCCTAAGTGAAGTCTTGTGTTTTATGGACGCCACTGCAAAACTAAACAGTCCAACTATTGAATTAAGTAATAGGTGGGGTCACTTTGGGGGGTGGGGAGAGAAGTAGAAAGCAAGTGTTATGATGCATTGTTGTTGGGCCGCGATAGATACGGGACCAGCCAAGTCGAGAGCAGAAATGTAACTGTTTATTTTCCAGATACAGATTCGGAAGCGCAACGTAAGTGGTGCTAGTGGCTGTTGATTAGTTTGAGGGTGATGATTTAGAAGAATAGCATTGGAAGAATAGCGGCAGCACTAGAACAATAGCTTGAAAACTGCGCACATTCATAACACGTCTCATTTTTTCGTAGACCAGGGTTTTAGTTTTAAGCCACTTCCAAAGCTTGAATAGCGAGCAAGAGGCCAGATCCTTGTTCCGAAGCGGGTCGTTTGAGTTGGACAAGGCTGTTCCTGAACTTACTGTGTTGGAATCGGTAGGCTTGGCTCAGCTATGTCATAGTAGTCCGGTGAAGCCTCTCAACAGTTTGCTCTGGTGTTCTTGGTCGCAGGTGAATGCGATTTCTGACGAAGAAGCCTCCAGTCTTTGTATTTAGGGTATATCTTCGAGGTTCTGGACTAACATTCACCATAGTGGCTCTTTCCCACTTTCCAATGAGGTACACTCACATTGGCTGACAAGGAATCAGTGCCGACAGCTTTCTCGAATGTCAGTCCCCATGTTTTTGTAGCTGCTGTTCATTTCGTGTAGGAACACATGGTGAGGTAAAATGAGGAAGATCGGCTGCAGTATGCTCGGAAGAGTTAGTAGGTATGTGTGCGTAATTTCCTCCCAGTAGCAGCTCAGCTGGGAATTTTCCTGCCATTGTCGGAGTTGAAAGATAGCTATGCAGTACAACCGCAAGGTCATTGCCTTCTTTGATGTCTTTGTCATCAATTATTTTAGAATTTCGATGGTCCTTTCTACTTGATTATTGCTGGGGGGATAGAGTTGACATGGTAACAATGACAACTTAAAAGTGATTCTTGATGGTGGCTTCAATATAAACATACAGGCATCGTCTGCCACCACAGTTGCGTTTGTGTCAATGGTCGAGTCATGTGGCTACAGCATAACAACAAAAAAAAAACGCCTATGCGTGTCACACCTACTTCAGAAACATTGATAAATTTATTTATTACCAACGTAAACGTAGATAACATACTGTCGGGTGTGATATGTCGTGAGATCAGCGACCACTTGGCACCTTATTATGTTGCAGGAAGTGCATTGTATTCCCGCGAGAGCAATTCAAAATATCGCACTTCTCACTTTGACTGTATTCAATGTGAGTTCAGAAGCTACAGACACATCCTATGAAACAGTTATAGCTATATTTAAATAAATCTATTCTAAGCACTTTAAAGAAAAAGCTGTAAAAATTCTGTAAAAGTCAAAAGCCATGAATAATTGGCTGCGCTTAAGAATGATAGCAAGGAAGTGTAAAATATTGAGAAAGTTTTAAAAAAGAAATTTTTGTCTAACATAAAGACATAAAGAAAAGAATACCAAAATAAAGTGAGCGGCTTCATCAGGAAAGAAAAAAAAAGAAATTACCTAAATCAACAAAAACATACAGACTGTTGCAGTGGCAGTGCGGAACTGTGAAGAAAACTTAAGGCTTTGCTCCACAGGACATAATTTTCCCCGACAGACATGGAAATAGGTCATAGATGATCACGCGGTTAAAGATTCAGAGCATGCTCAGTAAGTTCAATTATTCATCAGGCATTCAATCAAATATCAATCAAGCATTCGACCGTCTCTGTCATCAAACTCTATTTCAAAAATTACAAATACTATGGAATTCGTGGCAACACGCTTTCCTTTTCAAGATCTTGCTTCAAGTATCGTTTGCAACGTGTAAAAATTTACGATTCATCTTGCCTATAGGCAATTACCGCAGGGGTTCCACAAAGCAGCAATTTGGGGCCGATGTTTCTTAACAATTACATGAATGACATTGTGAAAATCAGTGATAAAAATAATATATATTGTACGCAGATGACCTAAGCTTTTTCTTGACAGGTAGTGGTATGAACGGGATGACGTCATTTATAAATGATACAATAGAAGGCTTAAGTGCATGGAGTGAACTAAAGCACTACTTATAAACGGACCAAAAACAAAAGCTGTAGTTTTTCACCCGCAGAAACAGATTTTTTGGATGACAGACTACAAATGGATATACCACGGCAATTGAAGTTGTGGAGAACAGTAAAACTTTTCTAAATCTAATCGGTAATTGTTTTAAAATGTGTCGGTATAATTGACAGAATGCGTTATTTCCTCCCGGTTCCGGAAAAGTTAGCATTTTATAACAGCCCATTTTTGTTGCGTGAATATTATTGTCTTTTTGTATGGCAAGTACCCCAGCAAGAAACATAAATAAATTATACAAGCTACAAAAAAGCTATTACGTATATAGCAAACGTCGATTACTATTTACACACTGATGGACGTTTCAAGCGCTCCAATATTGTATCAATTCAAAAACTTTACAACAAGTCGTAAGCAAACAGATACAAGCAATCTGTTCTTCACAACAACCGTGTCTTCTTAAACATATTTTAGAAACATGCACTAATCTTTAACCTACTCGTCAGCTACAACACTGAAACAATCCGCTGTGCCAAAAAAAAAATTGGGTGACAGATGCTGCGTTTCAATGTTCCGCTGTTACTCTATAAACTACTTAAAAGACAAAGCACTTTTGGAAAACGCAACGCAGATGTTATAAGAGAAATAAATTTAACATTAGAATCAATACAATGAGGTTTGTTTGATTTTTATAATGTTTAATTTTTCATAATCTGTGCAGAAAATTCCTCGTGTGTATAACATATTTGTGTTATTTTATATTTTGCGTAGTTGTATTAAGTTCATGTAGCTAGAAACTGATCATCTATGTTAGTCGTTTGTGCATGACATTATTTACATACATATCTTCACTTGCACTGCGTTCTTTTTTTCACGCTCTGTATTTCGTCACCCAAGATTTATTATCGTTATTTGCCGTGTATTAGAGAGGCTCGGGTACTCATCAGG